ATGATGGCCAGGTGCGGTGGCTCACACCTGTAATCCTAGCACTTTCGGAGGCCGAGGCGGGCAGATCATCTGAGGTCAGGAGATCGAGACCATCCTGGCTAACACGGTGAAACCCCGTCTGTACTAAAAATACAAAAAAATTAGTCAGGCGTGGTGGTGGGTGCCTGTAGTTCCAACTACTTGGGAGGCTGAGACAGGAGAATGACATGAACCTGGGAGGTGGAGCTTGCAGTGAGCTGAGATTGCGCCACTGTACTCCAGCCTGGATAACAGAGCAAGACTCCATCTCAAAACAAACAAACAAACAAACAACAATGGTATACTGATGAAAATATATATTTTTGCTTTAGGGAAGTGGAAATTATTTAAAGATATAACTTCAGAAAAAGATATACGTTCACTCTTGGTTTATGTAATTTGATACAATATGTGGGTTATATATACACACACACATATAAACATATATACACATATATATACACACAGGCACACATGTATATATAGCCAGCCCTTAAGAGTTGGGGATACTGACCCCCTGAAGAGTTGAAAATTCCCCGATGTTTGACTTCCCCAAAACTTAACTACTAATATCTTACCGTTGACTGGAATCTTTATTAATAACAGGCAATTAATACATATTTTGTATGTTGTATGTATTATATACCATATTCTTACAATATTTTGTATGTTGTGTGTATTATATACCATATTCTTACAATAAAGCAAGCTACGGAAACATGAAGAAAATCATAAGGAAGAGGAACTTTACTTACTATTCATTAAGTGGAAATGGATCCTCACAAAAGTCTTCATCCTCATTGTTTCATGTTGAGTAGGCTGAGGAGGAGGGAGGAAAAGAAGAGATTGCTTTTGCTGTCTGCAGAGGCAGAAAAAAAAATCTACATATAAATAGACCCGTGCAGTTTAAACCCTTGTTCAAGGGTCAGCTGTGTAATGTTTAGTAACACCTTTGTGAACTAAAATTGGAAAGTCAATGGTTAGAAGAGACAAATGACTCCAAATACTGGTGTGGTGTGATTGATTAAAATTTATTTTCTAATATGTGTTCTGGAGAGAGTTTCCCCAGAGCTAAAATAAATTCTAAGCTATCTTCACTCTCAGGACTAAGGCATGAAATAAAACACTCTAAAATCTGTATTAAAAAAATGTTTTGTTCTTAATATACAACTTAAGTCTTCTAGTTAACGAAAATTACAGTTTTAAAGAGTGGAATCGTCAGTATGATTCTGGTTTATAACTTAGTTTTTGCTAATTTGTTTATTTTTATATAAATTCAGTTGTTAAGTTCATAGAAATATTGGACTACAATTTATTTGTAGTGTGACAGCCTTAACATTGTTGCCATTGAGGGCCAATTGCTTGGATCCTGTCTTCATCCTTTCAGAGTACAGAATTTTCTGAGACGCCTTCTCCAGACAGTGACTCGGTGAACTCCGTGGAAGGACACTCTGAACCATCCTGGTTTAAAGACATAAAGTTTGATGACAGTGACACAGAACAGATAGCTGAAGAAGGTGACGATAATTTGGCTAGTGAGTTTAACTTTCTAACATTTTAGTGTTGATGGGTTGTTACTGTATATGAATGATAAAATGATTACCTTGTTTGTTGAAATAATTCTGCTTTATGATTTATGGCTCCAACTAAATGGAAACATCTGATAGCAGCCTTTGTCTTAGATACAGTATTTTCTTAAACCAACTTGTTAGGCTGACACTTCTAGATTTTACCATAGTCTATAGTTTGCAGCAGCTTAAAAATAACTGAACTAATAATATGGCAGCAGACAACTTTCTCATCTCTTCACTATGATATCAGACTTTCTCTCTGCAGAACCTCCAATATATTTCTTCATTTTAAAAATTGATTTTACATTTAACTTGTTCAAATTTTATTAAGTCTACACAGAAGTACATGAAAATACTGTATCCATTTTGGTATTGCACATTGGGCTTGTATATTAAAAAAACATTTTTCTCCTTTCCTCCAATACCCTGATAAAACCCATTTTTACTCCCCTCCTCTCCCTATATTTCTTTCCCCTTCCCAACACTAAAAGATTCTGCCAGTCCTAGCAAGCGCACATCAGTCAGCAGTTTCCAGTCCACAGTGGACAGTGACTCAGCCGCTTCTATCAGCCTGAACGTGGAGCTGGACAACGTGAACTTCCATATCAAGAAGCCCTCCAAGTACCCACATGTGCCCCCTCACCCTGCTGACCAAAAAGGTAGGAGGTAGTCACCATCTGGAATCCAAACACAGGCTGGACAGCTGGGCCATAGGATCTCATGCCAGCCTGTCTTTCTGGCTTCCTCTGTCCCATGTGGCTGAGGGGATTTGGTGTGGGTTTTGTTCTACCCTTTCTCATTTCTCCCACACCTCCTCCCCATACCTTTTTTGGTTGATTCCTTTTATTTCTTGTTTTCTTCCTCAGCACCACCATGCCCAGTTTAAAGCTTGTAGTCTTTAAAAGGAACCACATCTGACTGCTCTTCCCATAATGTGCAACTTCCAAGGTGGCATTTCTTTGCATTTATAACATGGATGTTCTGCTCTATTCTTTTCTCTTTCTTCATTTAACATTTTAAAGCCTGTTTGCCTTTGCCGTTACCCAGTAACATAATATTTCACTAAACTCATTAAGATGCTTGAACTAGATTGGGGGAAAATCATTCACACATTCCAAAATACCTCCACAATAATTCATAATGCTTATTATGTATATTCTATATGTATTAAAACAATTTCTTCTCTAATGTAAAATGAATTCATTATTTTTAGCTATCTTATTTGATGCTTTAGTCTGTTGGCTCAAAAATAGTGACCATATTCAAAAGACATTTTGTGTAAAAGGAGAAAGAGGTAAACATTACTAAAATCTAACATAGCAGCTTATAAGAAATGCCTGTTGTTAAAATGGATGATGAGGCTTACTTTATTGGATATAATTAAAAGCCAGTTTAAATTATGGTCCTATCATGGGATTGTGTAAAAGTGAATAAGTAAAAAATGCATGAGTAAATAAATAAATGTGGGATTTCGTTATGCCGTAATAACTGAAAAATCAATATTATAAAGATGAAGCACTTTATTCCATGATTTTACCTGGAGTTTGTATTTTAAACATATAACTGTCTAAAGTAGAATTGTCTCCTTACTTAGATCTGAAATGCTTGCCTAAGTTTTGCGCACTCTATTTTGAGCCTAAAAATAGATCAGAAAACAGAAGCTTTTGAACCAAACATTTATACTAAAATGATTTGATACAAGTTTATATCTCTCCAACAAATTTCTCATAATTGTCAGTATTAGTTATTATCAAAATGTGGTAAAACGATACTTAAGAGTTATAGTAATAAAAAGGAATATGTTATTTAAAAATAAGAAATTTAGAGAGGGTATGTTAATGAGGAGACTTGACTAACATTGAACATGAATAAGATAGACATCTTTATGGAAATCCTCAAAACAGAAACTGGAAAAATGATGGAGAATATTTGGGTGAGTATGAAAGGATGGAAAAGCAGATATGACACTTATGTGAGAATTAACTATAGATGGTGGTCACATGGGGGATATTATGAAGGTTTTGAATATAAACTTACAGATGTGGGTCAGGGGCACACAGATGATGAACATCTGTTCTCTGGACACATCTGTTGGCAATTGCATTTTGCTGTAAGCAGAATATGAAGTACACTTTTGACTTGCTGATGATTTCACCTCTTGGAATGTTAAAGGAGTTCTGAAAATCTTGAAAAGTGACCTGTCATCATAGAGTTTGTAATAGCAAAGGATAGACTGCTGAGCACAGTCAGATACTTACTTTTGAAAACCTGACTTGAGAACATGTGGAGTGGAATGGAACAGGAGGCTCCAAAAATGACATTGTTATGGTAACAACCCCAGATTGTGTCACCAAGGAAATTGACAGGAGAAACACCTGCAGTTAACAAAAATATGACTCCTTTCGAACCTCCCTGATCTCAATCCCCCCTTTTTTTTTTTAAGAGACAACAGGAGTGCAGTCGTGCGATCTCAGCTCACTGCAACCTCCACCTCTCGGGTTCAAGTGATTATCCCACCTCAACCTCCTGAGTAGCTGGGATTACCAGTGCACACCACCATGCCTGACTAATTTTTTGTATTTTTAATAAAGATAGGGTTTTACCATGTTGGTCTTGAACTCCTGGCCTCAAGTGATCCACACCCACCTTGGCCTCCGTAAGTGCTGGGATTACAGGCATGAGCCATTGTGCCTGGCCCTCAATCTTTTAAACAGATTGCCTATCAAAGTTGTAAGTGGCAACTTGCATAGGGGAATAAATCTGAAAGAGGGGACAGCACTTTTAAGAAAAATGACAGTATAATAGAAGTCCAGCTTGCACTGAAGGTTGGAGAAAATGCCAAGGATATCTGAGAAAGATTTAAAGTTTAGTAGAAAGAAAAACTAGGCCAGTTATTTGGGAAAGTTATGTAATATTGATTGATGACTAAAAGAAGGCTTTTTTTCCTCCCCACTCTTTAGACTAATCTTATCAGAAAAGAATACACGTGGTTAAGAGGAAAGTGAAGTCCAGGGTAATAAAGAGATAGAGAATTAATGGTTTTTTAAATAAGTCTGTTGCCAGGTTTAGGCAAACTATATACCAGGTTATTGAAAGACTTTGGATCTGGGATCATGGAGCCAGAGTTTGTTATCTTTGAAGAGTTGCAAAGAGTAGGAGAGAGTCTAGATGACTGTAGTGATAGATGCATTATTATTATTTTTTTTAAAAGATGGGTTCTTGATGTGACATTGAAGGCTGGAAAAATGTAGAGAAGTGTAGTGAACAGAATGGTCTGTGGTATTTAGACAAGGAATTGGTGGTAACTGGGCACCAGTGTTGGTTAACCAAAATAAGTCATTCCAAAACAACCCCATTTCCATTTTTTATGGTGATACAAGATTGATAAATCAGAAGACTATGAGAGATACTATCTTTGTTGATGTTAATAAGACATTTAATGATCTCTCAATAGCTTTGTAGACAAAGAGGACGATTTCGTACTTGAAATATGTTAAAAGAGGCAAAGGCAATGGTCATATTTATTTGTTTAAAGCACAGGCTTTGGAGTCTGTATGAGCTTTATTTTTTAAATTGTAAATTGACAAATTTTAATTGTATGTATTTATGGGATATAAAAAGATGTTACAATATATGTATAAAATATGGAATGATTAAGGAACAAGTAAGGATTTGAAATGATGGATATGTTTATTAAACCAAGCTAATGAACATATTCATCATTTTAAATCCTTTTTGTTGGGCCAGGGTGCAGTGACTCATGCCTGTAATCCCAGCACTTAGAGTGGCTGAGGCAAGCGGATTGCTTGAGTCTATAACATAACCTAGGAGCATCCCCTTCCTGTTGACATCAAATTATTAATTATCCTTTCAATATTTTGCACAACAAACTACCAGTTTGGGCAATGTGGCAAAACCCCATCTCTACAAAAAATACAAAAAAATTAGGTGGGTGTGGTGGTATGCACCTGTGGTCCCAGCTATTTGGGAGGCTGAGGAGGGAGGATTGCTTGAACTCAGCAGGTTGAGGCTGCAGTGAGCCATGATTTTGCCACTGCAGTCCAGCTTGGATGACAGAGTGAGACTTTTATCTTAAAAACAAAAAAAAATCCTTATTATTCTTAGTGGTGAGAACCTTTGAAATTTACTCTTAGCAATTCTGAAATATACAATATACTGTTATTAACTATAGTCGTCATGCTGTACAATATTTCTCAAAAACTTATTCTTCCTGTCTGAATGAAACTTTTTACTCTTTGACCAGCATCTCCCCATTCCCTTCACTTCCTCAACCTCTGGTAACCACCATTCTACTTAGTGTGAGCTTTTAATATGAAAAACACAAAGAGTGTAGTGTGTTTGGTGAATGTAAGAGTTTATGATACCACTACTAG